TTGATAATACTGTATGGTGATCTCTCCATTTGTGCGTTTAATCATCCAAGAACCACTTATGCGAACCTCTGAATTATCCTCAAGGGCCATAGTAAATGTAATTGTCTGGTTTGATTGATCGTTAGACCAAGTGTATTGGGTGTTGGCTGCAGGTAGTTTCCATCCATCCGTGATGTTGGCATAGTTTCCGTTAAAGATCTGTGACACAACCTCAAACGTTCTTGTGCGGGATTCAGTTAACCAACCAATACCAAATGTACCGCCCGATCCTGTTATGGTTTCGGACATATCCAACGTGCGCCACACATTCCCATCAAAAGAAATGCTCAAGCCATATGGGATTCTTATTGACCAATCCCCATAGACGGACATATCCAACATTTGCCACTTTGTAAAAGTTACCTCAGGGCGGGTAACAGTCTTAGCCGGGTAGGAAGTCGGCATAGTGCCTACTGTGACGTATTCCGGGAGTATTCCATTTAGATCTGTATTGTTGGTGGTTCCCGAATAATCCCCATAAAAGGGTGATTCGTGGTTTAGCAACATATCAGATATGTTGGTGGTGCTTTCGGTTTCCCAATCGGAATAGTTGACCTTTTCCGTTGCCAGAGCGTAGCCAAGGCCGATGGGAACCACTACCATTAATGTTAGTGCGATTGCCGCCATTGCTTTCATTGATGCCATTTTATCACAACGGTTTTAGGGATTGCATCACGCGCATAGTCACGCAGAGCATACAGATAGTCATAGGAAGTCCACACATAAGCCAAAGTACCATTGATGCCCAAGAGTTATTGAAATTGGGTAGGTTGAATGTGAATATCTGAATGAACGTATCAATCAAGCCGCCCGCGGTGACTGCGTAAGCGTTCGAATTTTCAATATCTAGGAAGTTTCCGGCAGAGGTTGAACTAACTGCAAAAGTCCAATTGCCCTGCGTCCACGCTTGCATTAACGGTGTTCCGCTTTCAAGTACGACAGGATCGAAACGGACAGACAGATTAAGATGCGTACCGTTGAAGTTGAAATCATACACGGTAGCATATCCGCTGGATTGGTTGTAATCCGCGATAATGTCATATGCGGAGTAACTGGCTAGTTGGATCTCGCCGCCGTAAATGTCCAGACCGCCGCTTAATCCCTCTTGGCCATTATAGGAGTACCACACCAATGATAAGCTGCCGTCCCTAGTTCCTACGGTGCTTGTGCTGAATGGCAGAGTAGGATCTAGAACATACCTATATCCCGTGTAGTTCCAATTGTTGGCCGTAACTGTTTTCCAGGTGTACGGATCAAAACCGAGTTTTTCACCGAACCAGTTAATGACAGGGATATTGGCCCACCATTCAGTACCGTTTTTCTCTTGGTAGGTTGCAACTTCCTTGTTATAGGTGATAGTGACGTTCGATTTTTGGTTAGGATCCATATGTATGTTTGCTGCGGATCCAATATCGGGATAATCGGTTATGTCCTCACCGAATAGCCACCCATCATCGAAATGATCAGCGGGATTCAATGAGGTATTCCACGGTGTGTATACATGCGTAAGCACCCACGGAGTTTGGTTAATCATTGATTCCCCAGAGAAATCAATTAGTTCATTGCGGTACGCTTGGATGTCATCATAATCATAATCCCCGCTGGCCTCCACAAACATTAACTGGATTCCAAGGGTGCAGAAGATGGAAACACCAAGGCAAAACACAGCCACCTTAATTAAGACGGCATCGTCCCCTATGGTAACGGCCATATCAATCAACAACCTTTTTTAACTGACTGGCAACAAGAGCGGCGCACACAATGATTATGAAAATCATTATCGTTTCATTGAGGATCCCATACGCGCTAAAAAAAATCGCCAGAGGGATCATAGGAACCACGGAGTAAGCCGGGGATGCTTTTAGATTCATAAGAAGAACCAAACAGATTGCCCAAGCGACAACCAAGATGGCAAGGCCCGCCAGACTTGTTGAACCATCAAAAAAATAGGTTGCTACAAAGTTAACTATCGAGGTAAAAGATAGATCCATTTGTATCAATCCTTATTTGAGATTAAGAAGAACTGCGCAAAGCTGAACATCATTAACAGAGCCGTTGGCAAAAATTCTGCCGTCTGTTGATAGATCTGCAACGCAGCTATGAGCCAACCAAGGGAACTGATGAAAAGAATTGGCAACTTCTTCATTTTGTAGCCTAGAATGGTTAAGCCAAGCGACACCAGGAGAGCCAATATCAATCCATCAGTAATCATAAGATCTTCTCGGTTGGAGTGCGCCGGGGATATACCGCCCCGGCCTTCGGTTGGTTTCAGTCTTTGTTAGTGATGAGCCTAACAGAGATCATAAGCACCGCAACAACCGACAGAATGACGATTGCAGAAACGATGCCTTTGTAGTCTTCAAGTGCGCCCCCGGTTTCGGTGTACTCCAGAATAGTCGGTGCAAGGACACTTGCAATGACGATTACGGACACCGTGATAGAAACGATCGCGCCAACAATTTTTCCCATATCCATTGTCTTCTAACCTCCCTTTCAATTTTTGGTGTATTGGTTGACTGCAACGATGATTAGACCAAGGATGGCAAAGACAACTGTGACACCTACAAGGCTAGACCAAGTAGAACCATCACCGCCAAGGCGTGACAGATCTGACATTACATCAACCGCAACAGGGGCAAGAAGACTACCAATCAGAACAATCCCGATTGCCAAAGCAATGATGGTTATGACAACCGAATTGATCGAAAGACCGCCTACTGCCATAGAAAATAAATTATCCTCATTGTATAAATACCTATAATGTCTAGTACAACTAGGATAAAACCCTTATTTCATAGAATATTCACTCAACCCGGGCGGTAATGATGAAGTACCTAGTAAGAAAGGAATGTGATAGAATCAAATTCTACCGCATAAAGAAAGGCCCGCGCCAGATGGTAAGCGTGGGCGGGCGGTTATATCGTATTGAGGATTCAGTAATGTCTAAGGACATTTTGACGGGTAACGCAATCATTGCATACGATATTGATGATACTCAACCGTGGGGCGCAATCCCTGTTATGATAGATCCGGATATGACGAAAGTATTGATTGATTCGGCCAAACTGTCTGGAACCAAAAAATCAACGTGGGCGAATTTGGACGGATCCAAATTAATGAACACTCTAATTGGCATCGTTGTTATCGGGATCATAGGGTATTGTATCCTGTCGGGCGGTGGACTATGAGCGCGTTAATCTTGATTCTCGGCATGTATCTTGCCTTGATTGGAATTGTCGCGGGTTTCTTCGTCTTCAAAAAATACTATGTGAAAACCCACAAGACGGCCTATGAAATGGTTCATCCTGTGGAACACGAATATTGGAGAAGACACCCGGCAATGTACGATCTAAAAATGAGATTCCTACACCGCAGCTTGCTTGGTGAAAGGCTGGCCATAACAATCACGATGCACTATGGCCCAATCTCTTATGAGGATCATATTAAGGGAACCAACCGCCACTATTACCGTAGGGCCGAATCTTGGGTTTCTACTCCCGCGCACCAACTCCAGAGCAACGGCTATCTTAAATGCGAGGGCATCCACGATTCTATCATTTTCTGGGGCGTTCCTTGCTATGTTAAGATTCTGAACTGCACCAAGTTTGACAAGACCGCAACCGTAGACGGCCAATATGTAATAGCGCAGGACACCGCAGCAACCTTGCACGACTATATGCAGAGCAACGCAACATTGGATTTCATTAAAGGAATGGGTAAAACCTCATTGCCCGCAATGGATCTGCAAAAGATGATGATGATAGGTATTGTTGCCGTGGCTACAATCCTTGGGTTGTATATGTTAGGGATAATCTGAAATGTTCGAAAAAATGGGCAGATTCTTCAAGGATCTAATACAGACTGTATCAATAATCAGAATATTCAAGAAGTGGTGAATATGGAAATCAAACAATCTAAAGATGTGTGTATCGACAAATTGACTAGCACAGAGGGAAAGGAACTAGAGATAACCGCCAATATCAATTCACAGAATCAGATAAAGGCGGTTCTCCAAGGCTACATAGCCAAGGCCCTACATTCAAAATACGGTGTTGAGCAATACCAAGTCTTACTGCGCCTTACTGATTCCTACCGTGGCCGTTGTCGTGATGATCTAACTGGAATCGGAAAAGTCCCCGAGGTTCAAGGCTGGACAATGACAGGCGGTGGTATGCACGAATAAAGGTGAACTATCACGTTGGGTTGTGTGCCTTTTATGGTGCGCCCTTGGGATCCTGTGCGCCATAGGATGTGTTGCAGATGTTGAACTGTCGCAGAGAATGACGGCCGTTTTGGTGTTCCTTGTGCTGGCCAGACCATTCATAAATGAAGTCATAGACGTATTCAACCGCGAGGATCCGCAGAAATGAGAATGAATATACGCGGGCCGGGCGAGGTCTGGGCCAGTCCCATTGGCAACGGAACAATCAAGGATTATGAAATCTGCCGTTGGCCGTCTGGCAAGATCTATATTAGGTATCTTCTAGAGGATATGTTAAAACTTCTCGCTGAAGATATGCACAAAAATGTTAGGAACGGCTATGATAACTTGGTTGTTATCGAGGGGCCAGAGGGTAGCGGAAAATCTAATTTTGCGTATAATCTCTTGAATACATATTGCAATCTGAATGGTTCAGAATTTGATTTGAAGTCGCAATATGTATACAACACCAACGCGTTTAAAGAGATCCTCAAAAAAGGCGAGGATGCCAAAAACGCTTTTTGGATGGATGAAGCAACAAATATGGCAAACAATCGCGATTGGAACACCAATGATAGCAAATCGCTAATTATGTTGCTTGAAACTATGCGTAGTCGTGGATGGTTATGTTGTCTGTGCATCCCCACGCATGAACGCTTGGACGTATACATACGCGAACACCGTATGAAATACCTCATTCGCTGCGCCCCAATGGATTTCGAAAGAGTAGGCCATAAGGACAGGGGATATTTTGAAGTGAAGAAACGCAACCCATACGGCAAACTGGAAACCATAGGATATGGCGAATATCCCCAGATGCCCGCAGAAGTCAAGGCAGAATACGAAAGTATCAAGTTAAAATCACAAACCACGATGATTAATGAGGTTGTCAACGGTGCAGATACTTCTGCCGGATCCAAATATAATAAGATGTACAACGAGAAATGCAAACAGATGGATTCCATAATGTTGCAGCTCTATAATTCCGGGTATGATCCAGATGGACTAATGGAATTGTTCGGCATCGAAAACAGACGTACTTTTATGAATAAACTTTCAAAGGCAAGGCACGATTAAATGAAAATCAGAGGAATAGCAACAGAGAAAGCCATAGAAATGCAGGACAAATTGGCAGCTAAGGCACGTTATGACTTCTTGATGAAAGTTATGGAATGGGAAGAAGTCAGTTATGAGGTAGCCGTGGCAATCTGCACAGGGAAAACAGATCCAAAAGAAACAAAGTATACGCTAGGTTACAAAATGGCGGATCCGATGATGCAGATGGCTATGCACGGCCAATTATCTGCCAAGGCACGCGCCAAGGCCGTTGAGCAATTCGAGAAAACATTAGACGAGGACGAACTAGCCAAGTTTAGAGCCGAGGTTATGCCAATGAATATGCGCCAGATGCTTAAACAGGAAATGAAACGGAAAAAGAAAGAAAAACCACAGTAAATGATGGAAAGTTTTGCAACTTCCCATTTTAATTTTTTTATTGAGATATATTTTTATAGTCGTACAGACAATAAACCTATGCTATCTTCCGATTCCTAAGAGGGATTCGCGGAACCGTCGTATACAGTTTCAGAACCAACTTTTGGGAAAAGTCGATAGAAGTGTTACATAGTAACACGGAGAGCGTTAAACGTGCGAACGCTTACGCGCACTCTTTCGAACCGAAGTAAAGAAGACAAGGCCGTTGAAACACCCGGATTTGATGGATCCGAAAAAGGCGATTCTTGAAACTCATATATAAATGAGTAAAAAGAAAAAAAATCGCCTTGTTCAGACCATCGAACTTGGACGGATTGACGGCTTATAGCGGATGCGCCGCTTAATTCGCATTGTCTGAACCAATGCGGCGCATCGACTTGGCCGTCTTGATATTTCGGTTCGAAAGCGTGGCGGTAAAAAGATGCAAACAAGAAAAAGGAATGTGATAAAATGGGCGGAATAACACCATCAGATATGTTGAAAAAACTTGATTACTACGTCAGCCGTAGTCAATCACAGATTACCTATCAAGAATTGAAATCTATCTTTTATTTGGAAAAGATGCGCCCAATGATTTCGTCAAAATCAACATTTACCGAGAAAATCCAAGATTTGGTTGATTTCGGTTTTTTTGAAGTTGTACCCATCAAAACCCGCAACGTAATCTATCGTATCAAGTGGGATAAAATCGACCTCCAGTTTTCAAAGGAACGTGAAGAATGAGCGGCAACTTTGTTTGTTTCGAATGTCGCGATTGTTTCCCGATCGCGAAACTTGGCGCAATCGTGCCAACTCCCAATGTCGGTGTCTACGCGTGCGTTTGCACCGTCTGCGCAATTGTTACCCTGAAGATCTCCGACAATGATCTAATCAAAACCTGGTGATAAAATGGCAGAAGTCGGTATAATCAAAATCTCGCAGCTTGTGATTGGTAAGATCTACTGCAAGAAAGACAGGCCGTATATCTTGGTAAACTTCAACAACATTTCACACAAAAAGTTGTGTGGTGTGTTCGTCAACTGCAAGGATCTATCTAGGACAATGTTTGAAATGGACAGATGCGGGGCAAATGACTTGCCGTGGATCCTTTTCCCCTATGGGGGCCAATAAATGGTTCTCTGCGCCCTCTATGCGCGTGTTTCGACAGGGACACAGGATGAATTAGACCAATTGCCTGTGTTAAGGGGTGTTTGCCGTAGTGCGGGTTATTCCATTGTCGGAGAATACACGGATGTTGCAAGCGGGCGCAGCAAGGCCACGGACAGGCCCGGATTCCAAAAACTCATGCGTGATGCAAAGGCTAACAAATTTGACATAATCTTGGTTGTAAAACTGGATCGTGTAATGAGATCCTTAAAGCAACTACTCGATTTATTGACTTTGCTTGATTCCCTCCAAATCAAATTGCAATGTGCAGATATTGGAATCATTGACACCAAATCTACTGCGGGCAAACTCCAGATGGAGATTTTAGGCGCGGTTGCTGAATGGGAATGTTCGATTATTTCCGAACGCACCCGCGCCAGCCTTGCCGCCAAAAAGGCGCGTGGTGTCAAGTTGGGCCGTCCAAGAACAAATGATTTTGACATTGTGACGGCGGCAAAATTGAAAATGAGTGGCCACAACCGCAAACAGATTGCCGAAAAGATGGGTTGCTCAATTCACGATCTGAATAACAGACGTTTCGAACTTGCCGCCGCCATTGAGGAATTACAGAAACAGGATGATGATTTAGATGCTTGATATGATGGAACGTATCGCAGCTGGGGATGTTGTCCCGGTTGCGTTAAGGCCCTGTCCTCTATGCGGGGGAACAATGGATTTTGAAAAGAATTTAGCCGCGTATGATGCGGATGGATTCTTAGACACTTGGCTTTATGCTGAATATTATGGAATCGTTTGCGACAAGTGCAATCTTAGATTGTTCGATTACTGTGTAGAGGATCTAGTCGAGAAGTGGAACCACAGGGCGGCGATTGAATGATAGTGCGTATCACAGGAACCGAGGAAGACCGCAAAACCATATTGGCTGCATTGGGATCCTATCAGAATGAGAACGGAGAACCGTTAAAGATTCTGTCTGTTTCCCAAGAATACGATTATCGCGAAGACAAACGGATGAAGTCTATTTATGTAGATATTCCGTCAAAATTCCAGATTGTTATTGGAAATCTGCAAGATTATCAGGTGCTGGAGTACTGTTATAATTTTAGATCTAAAAACCAACTGGCCAAGGAGTTTCATATATCTTGGGATGCTGCGGGCGAAATTCTCGACAGGCTGGCCAACTCTGGGGATCTAATCAAGATGGTTTCAGACAAACGTTATGAGTACATCCGCGCAGACGTTGCCAAATTGGTTGTCAAGGAATGTGGCAACTGTGACCACCGCACTATAAGTTGGGGAGAATGTAAATATGATCCAGAGCCGGACACAAGGGAACACGGTTATATTCCTGTCCATAACGCAGCCTGTCCGAATTTTACGGCATCGTTTTCTGCATTGGCACGCGCAGCTAATGGCAACAAATCATTGGATGTGGAATGATGGATAAGGCATCCTCTGAAATTTATGCGGAATACCGCGCAATGCTGGAAAAGGCCAGCGAAGTTGCAAAGCCGTTTGAAAATCGCGCAAAAGAATTGTTCAAACGCTATGAGGAAGTATGGCAGAATGAAAAAATCATACAAATCAAATCTAAAGAATGGTTCCTCAATGTCCTAAATGGCCCTGTTAAAAAAGATCTGATTAAATCAGATCTGCGCACCATCAATGATGGATATGTTGATGATTATGGTGGCCCCAACAAATCTGGACTTAAACGCTATTGCTGCGCTTATTGTCCGTTCCTAGGGGGCGGGGATCCTTTCGGCCCTCCGTGCTGCACATTCAAGCCTTATTATGATAGGTTCGACATTTGCGCATTGATTTCTGCGGAGATCTTGAACGGCCGCATTATGGATGATCTGATTAGCGCGGGGGTGCGTATTCGTGATTGAGGACAGATTCTATATTGTTCTCATAACCTATGGGCGCGGGTTCATTCAGCAATACGAAACGTGGGATTATGACAACCTCTTGAATAAGCTGCAAATGTATCAGTCGAAAGGCTGCCAGATTCTAAGCCAGCACAAGGAAGACCACAGGAATTGGTACGTTATGTATTGTCCCAAGGGGGTTGAGCCGTGGAAGAAGTGAAATGCTGCGGAACTTGCACCAAATGCCACATTTCGCCCGGCAAATCAAAACCTTGGATTTTCTATTGTGTTTCCAAAAAAATGTGCGTGAACTTCAAGGCCGTATGTCTTGATTTCGAGGAAATTCAATTAAGGGTGGGGGAGTGATGGGTTACTATCCTTATCTTGGCCCTAGGGAGATCCCATTAACAGTAGGTGAATACATCGAGGAAGTTTTTTTAAAACTCCAATCTGGATGGCGGCAAGAAGTCGGGCCTAAACATGATTGCTTATTTGAGTATCCGCTAATGA